GGGTAGGGGGGATCCTCCGCGCCTCGGACTGTGGGTGTGCAGCCGCCGGTAAGCCGGCGGAGGGCTTGGGCGGGCAGCCGTGCCCTGGTGTCGGTGGTTGTGACCTGTAAGGTGGGAAGTCCGTCTCTTAGGCTCAGTTAAGCTTGCGCTTGGCGCAGTGCCTCTGGGTTTTTCTGACTTCAGGGTACCGAAGCGGTGTGGAGTTCCGACAAAACGACGCCCTTGGGCCTGGAGAGCGGGTGTGCCTCGCCTGTGCCTGCACGTGTAAGACTGGTCGGTCCTTGGGCGTTTTTGTGAGGTAATGACTGTAACTTTCTGACATATTTGTTACGTTTGTAGAGTAAAAATAAGCGGCCAGAACGTTAGCGGTTCCATGCGGAAATACCTTGGGAGCTGTCTAGGTACTTTGGTCTGGTTTCCGCGGAGCTGGCTGTCACTGAAATCAAAAGGGGTCTGTCTGAGAACAGAGGTCCATCCTTGGCTAATTTATAGAACTACCTGGTTCTCCTCTGCTCTGCAGAGGTACAGTGTTGGACTACCGTGTCCTGAAAGTTGGCAGAAATGAGCAAAGGGCAAATTCTCATTTTACAGCATTCTCTTCTAGGTTATGTTTGATTTAAAGAATCTCATTTTGTTACCCATCCTGAATGGCTGTGTGCTGCATGCAATTCTCTGATCATTTCTATCTAACCTTTGTCTCAGTTTACTACTTGTGTGTATACATTGTAAAGTAGGCATTTGTCACCATTGCCTTCTAGCAAAACTGATGTATAGTTTCATGTGAGTTTGCCTTAAAAAAAAAATCTTAAGAAACATTGTGTAGACAGACTTGATAAATTTGTGATGTTTTTTGAATGGCTTTGTTTAGCCCTTGTCTTGAGGTGAGAAGTTTCTCTTTTGTGCAAGAGGAACTCTTCTGATGTTTTAACAGAATAGGTTTTCGGTACAAAAGTTAAATGTTCTTAGGGAACAGTTCTGTTTCTGCCATGTAGATTATGGAGGTCTGGCCTTGTCTGTGTTGGATTCTCCCTACAACGAATCTCTTCTTCCACCTGCTCCTGAGTCTTCAAAATTTGTCTGGTTCTACACTGCATGGCTTCCAGTCCTTTAAATTACAAGGCTATGGTGCTGTATTCAGAAGAGCTAATGGAGATATAAATGTAATTTCCAGATAAGTAAGTAAATCAAGACTAAGAGGATTCAGTACATAATAGTGAAAGCCAGTTGTGTTCCTACGACAGAAAATATCAGTCTGTAGACTCTATTCTGTTTCAAAATTGTCAGTGGGTTGTTATTATTAGCACTCTTGCAAAATTAATTGTTTTGGTTGACTATTATAAATTTTAAAATGGCCTATTTTCTTCTACTCTCTTTTTCATTTTCACAGCACAGGCTAACAGTTAAATCATCAGAATTCCTGCATATGGCAAAGTACAGATGGTAGGGAATTGTTTTATCATAAATGCAGTGCACGATTTGGCAACACCATTTTGTAGCACTGCTCTTTGACTGTACTTAGGCTTCTCTGGGGGTGAACGTACTCTAACTGATGTATAATCTCCTTCAGTGAGCAGTTTTCAAGCTGTCACTGAATTAACCAGCAAGATGAAGTTCTGTCCTAGCAGCATCTTCTGCCCTGGTTCTCCTTTTAGGTTCCAGTTTATATAAGCTCCCGAGCCACTGTGGAGGCTGACTTTCAGAACAAAACGTGATCTTTGTGGTAACAGTTTGGAAGCAGCCAGGTAACCTTTCTGCAGCAGTGAAGAGTGGTTTAACAGCAAATTGTTCTCTGCAGGTGTCAGCAAGATACGTTAATAAACCTGTCTGATTTTAAAACAGAAATGTTTTTCTGCTTTTTCCTCAACAACCTTCTCCTTTGTTGTGCAGAAATAATTAATTACCTTCTTGTTGCTTTTGTATTGGCACTGGTGGTTTTGATGGCTAAAGAAACTGAAATAACTAGGAAAACTACGGAAGTGACAACCTCATGAAGTGTGTAAAATACTAACAATTTTGATGATGGGTGCTAGCAGTCAGAGGGAAATGGCACTTTTTAAACAATGTATAATACAAACAAAACTGAATTGCATTTCATGACACAGAGAAGAAGTGTCTGGATTGAAAAGACATATCCCATGAATGTTGATCTTCCAGGTTAAAATCAGAAAGTTTTGAGTTTCTCTGAGAACCAAATGTATAAAGGCTTTATGTTGTTGGTCAGTTTAACTATATGCTGCTGCTTTCTGTCTGTAATACCTGTATGGCTCCCATTAAGACAGCCTCCAAGAGCCTCACAGACTCATAAAACAATCTTTACAATACCTTTGTGTTAAAAGTAAAGTGATTATATTAAAATAATAAATAATTATTTTAAATTTAGAACTGCTGTAATTAAATGACATTATAACCCCATTGTTGCTCTCAAATGTGCAATTCATTATGATAATTTGAATTAGACATTTAAAAAACATTGTTTGATGTTTAAGAACATTTGATAGAAATCATGACTGTAAAAGAAAAACTAATATTTAGGTCATTTCTCCTTCCTTATTTTCTGCTATAGCAAAAAGCTTATCTAGTGCATGTTGATTTATCTAATGCTTTAAATAAGAAGGATGCACGGCATACAGTAGTACTAAAAGTTAATGTCAGGGTAAATAAACTGACCTCTACCCCATTTCTTGGGGATAATATCTACACCATACCCATAGAAAAGAAGATCTAATATACATTTGAACTGGGCAGTTTTTTGTGTTCTGACATAATCAGTTAATTCAGCTTACTCCTCATCCAGAGTTAAGTGATACCGCTGCTTAAAAGATTTGCCCACGGTCATGAAGCATAGTCAGGTGTGAAGACTCAGACCCTCATTTTCAGTGCTCGTGCAGCAATGCTAACGAGTAGGCAGTCGCCTTCCCACGTAATAGAGGTCATGCACTTAGATTATTTAATGGCATGAAAAAGACTTATTTTCGTTGTTATTTGTTTGTTCCCAGCAGAGTAGTAAAATTGGAAAATTATTCTGCCTGACTCAGAAGTCCAGATACCTGCTATATGAATGTGAAACACCTGTTCTGATTATGCAAAGGAATCACTTGGCATGGAGTTTAGATACATTTTGCATGACAATTGTAATTTTCCTGCCAGCTGGATCGTGCTTTCTGTAGTGAACAAATCGGCAAAATAATACATTGGAAAACATCTGACTGGCTGCTGCCCAGGGTAGCAATGGAGTTATTTCATTCTATAGACTATACCAAGAGGTCTACCCTCAAAAATGGTACCCTTGGAAAAAAAATAGAAGCAGACATCGTTTTTAAGGCCTCAGGCTCTTTTCTGTCTCGTGTGGAGCTCAGTTCTGAGCACCCCGTCGGGAAAACCTTCGAGAGGGGAGCAGGGGCCGTGCAGCAGCAGCCTCCGCGCGCAGCCGGACGGAGGGGAGCAGGGACGGGCCCCGGCTCTGCGGCGCCCCCTGCCGGGCCGCGCCCCGTGC